GGATGGACAGCAAGCTGCTCTCCGCCTACCCCTCCGCCTCCTCGTCCGCTGCAGCCGCAGCCGCCGCCTCCTGCCACCTGCACCTGACCCCCCAGGGCAGCCCCGGCTCCTTCTCCCTGAGAGCCCCGCCCGGCCTGGGCCTTGCCCGCTATCACCCTTACAGCAAAGTCCACTTGCCCGCAGCCCCCTCCCTGCCCATGCCGACGCTGCCGGCCGCAGCACCATACTACTCCCCCTATGCTCTCTACAGCCAGAGGCTGGGCTCGGCCTCAGCGCTGGGCTACCAATGAGCCGTGTGCATCAGACCCGGATTCACTTTGGGGGTGGCACTCATACGCTGGGCAACCGGGAATGCAATACCAGCACCCACCTATAGGGGGCGCCCAGGCTCTGATCCAACAACCACTATATACTTAGCTGCGGATTCGTCACAAGGTGATGCCACACATCGGCCCTGCCCCCCCGATCTAACCTGTCCCCACCCTGAGCTTCCAGCGATCGGATTCCTAAAAACCTGTGACTCTTCCTGGGGTGCTAGTGACCCTCCGTGGAATCCCAGTGAAGTTCGGTCAGTGGGACACTGGGAGAACTGGACATGTACAAGCTTCACTCCTGAGCTTTTTGGGATTAGTTTCGCCTTCGTTTTACTACTTTCACATCACTTTCTCCCGGACTGAAAAAGTGTATTTATTTTTTACAGAGCGCTTGGCTTTCAAGTTGGGGGAAATTTATTATCCAAATGCATTGTTCCTAAGTATTCTTACTATTCTCATTAAAAATATTATTATGCTTATTATACACTTTTTAAAATAAAGTTTTGTGGTATGCAACTTGGCAGCAGTTTAATGGCAGATTCTCTAAAGAAGTTCTCTCCTTGTTTTCCAGTCTTTTTCTAGCCACCCCCCCCCTCCCACCACTGATTTGCTGTCTCATGTCTGGTGGGGGGGTGTGTCACCCCCCTCCCGGGCTCTCAGAAGGCTTCTTATTTTTTATTTGTACAGCTGACGAGACAAACACAAGAGATGTAATATTTTTTGTATTGTATTTGTGTGGGCTGGCCGTGCAGAGGGGACAGAGCCATGCACAGAACTCAACAGGAAGAAAACCATGATGGCAGTGCTATCAGCTTAAAGGGGAAGGTCTTATTTTGTTTAATAAATGCGAATTATTATATTTAAATGATGTCTTTTGGAGTTTTGTTCTGGGTAGCTAGTAGATGACCACACACGCAGGTTCACTCGCTTTAATAAGAAGCAAAGGGTTTAATAGATTTGTGAGAAACAGATTTACAGCCTGTGTTAGCTGTAACATCACAAAAAAGTATTTTTTTCCTACAATTAAGGTGAGTTGGCGACATGGACAGCAGGGGGAGCAGTGGTTAACATCCTGAATTTGTGAAATTATGGACTCAGATGGGGACCTTCTTTTTACCACTGGATCAGGGATATGAAACATCGTTCTATGTTTGTGCTATTGGAAAATTTCCCTTCTGAGCCACATAGGTATATAACTTGTGGGCCGATAACTCCCTTTGTTTTTTTAATATTGGGGGAGCAAGTAGATGTATGTTATTTCCAAACATACGCAGGCTGAGTGGTTCAGTTTGTGTGGGGATTTAAGTTCTGGGTCCAGCATAAATACCAATGCAGGGCTGTATTCAAAGAGTCAACTACATGTGAAAGTTATCTGACCGTGTGGAAGAGCTTAGGACACAGGGAGCCAGGGAATTAGTCCAGGTTGGCCTCTGATTGGTGGAGACAGCATGCCTGGGCCCTTTATTTCAGTGATTGATGATTTGTTGCTGTATTGATGGATTGAGTGATCCAGTCCCAGTGGAGGTTCTTACCCTGACCCAATGACCTTCGCTAAAGCAATGCTATCCAGCCAACTGCAAGACAATATGGTTTTCCTCTCACATTGTGCTTTTATTAAGAAAATACAGTGGAATTGCTGGCTCCCCTATGTGGTTCTCAAATTCGTTCGAGAACCTCCTTCCTGGAAAATTCTGGAGAATTCAATAAAATGTGTGTTGATTTTGCCCCAGTTAAATCTTAAAGGGGTTGACCTGCAACTTAAAGTGAAGTCACATCGCTAATGATCGCTCTTGCTGTCGGAGGTCCATTGCAGCTCTGAAAACAAGACTAACGGCTGTTCATTTTTAAATAAGGCAAAGTTAATATTTGTATTCCTGCTGAGACAAACAGGAGGAATCTTAAGAGAAATGGAGCAAATATGTGTGGTATATGATTTTGGAAAGGGTGCAGTTTTAACGGGCATTAAGCCAAACTCAGTCGTATTTTACTGATGAGCTCTGTGATCGGCAGGATTTTTTGTAATATCAGCACACTAGTATCTGTTTGAATGTTAAATGATCAAATTCCCATAGTCGCCGGATCTATCGGGTCTCCAGGGTGTCCTGTTTGGGGCCGGGGGTGTGCAGTCACAGAAGCTCCTTCTCCTTCAGCTTCCAAAGCACGTCTCCTGCTCAGGAACTCGTTGAGTCTTTTTTATTTTTTTGAGGGTAGGAGCGGTTACGCTTATCTCCACTCCAGAGCCGGGGTGAAATTCTTAAGTTCCCCCGAGTGATCTCTCATAAACGGATCACACAAGCGGAATAAATGTACTCGCCGGCCGAAGGGACTTAATTTAGTCAGGCGAACATTATCAATCTGTACAAATAAACAAGGTGGCTGCAACAAACACCATCATCGAAGGAACTATTATCATGTGTGATGACAATCACGGCTACGTCCAGTGGATGTCTAGTTCTTGCCCCACCGCAGAATCCCAGGGTGTCACAAATCGGCGATTCATTATCCCATTAGCGCGTGTCAGCTTGTGTCGCCACCTGCAGGTGCCCCGCAGTACTGCATTTGGAACAGCTGGGGGAGACGTGATCGCCGCGCAAGGGTGACGGTAAGCAGAGACGGTGCGGGGGGGAGGGGGACGTGGGAGATAAATGGTGAGGAGAAGTAGCAGAGGGAGAGGCGGGGGGATCCATCTTGTCTTACTGGAGGAATTAACAGCACTGTTACCCTTCAGCAGTCCCATCTCCCATCCATCACTGCACTCATCCCTCATCAATCACACCGCCCATCTGTTCTTCATTCGTCTCGCCGCTTCCAGCCACGTCCTCCGTCCACCCTCATGCACTCTCTGTTCCCGGAGCCCGCCCTGACGAACCCATGGCTAGGGTGGGAACTGAATCGCAGTGCCGATGGTGGGAGACGCGGGCGGGGTGCAATGCAAAGCGCACATTGTGCACACTGGACGTGATGAAAAGTCCCGTGGAGGGAGGTGTGGGGCGAGGGGGGGGACATCCGACAGCCCCCGTGATTAATGACGACAGAGTGCGGTGCGGCTCCTTGGCTGGCAGCAGGGCCGCACCCCCCAGCGGGCCAAACCCCAGGAATGCTGGGAAGGATCCTAACACCGGTGCACACGTCATGTGACTTGCTGGTAAACACTGCTTTTTATGGGACAAGAGCCCAAGCGCCTTCTTCTCAGGGTTTTGGGGAGATTATAAACTGTCCAGGGAGTGGACCTTCCCTCCCTCTCTGCCCCCCCCTCCCTCTCCGGCCCCCCCCTCCCTGCCTGCTTCCATCTCTCATCCTTCCTCAGAGCCCTACAGTAACCACACAATAAACCAGCCCAGATGTCAGGCCCATCTTTCATCTGGGTTGTAAAACAATCATACAGGCCATTCTTTATGTTCTCCCTCACAAAGAGAGTAAAAAATGTTCTTTGGCTCTTGGTTCTGCATCCCCCCTCCCACCTTCAAACGGAACGCATGCCTCCGCGCCCTGAGAACCACGCCGGCCTTTGGAAGTGCCACGGCGCTGATTCATTGACTGTGCGACTCTTTGGTAAATTGGCCAGATCCCGCGGTGAATTAACGCATCCAAAAGGGGATGTTGCATAATGACCCCCCCCCCCTCCCCTCCTTGCCTTGTTTGTCTCTCCCTTCCAAGTCTCCAGGCGCCCTTGACATGCAAATGCGCAGGGAG